TGCAGATGTCTATATATTTTTGTGCCAGTACTATGCTGTCTTGACCACTATGACTTTATAGTACAGCCTAAAATCTGGTATGCTGATGCCCACAGCTTTGTTTTTATTACTAAGAACTGCCTTAGCTATGTGGGGTTTTTTCTGGTTCCATACAAAATGTAGAATCATTTTTTCCAAGTCTTGAAAGTACGATGTTGGTATTTTAATAGGAATGGCATTGAATTGATAGATTGCTTTGGGAAGTATAGCATTTTAACAATGTTGATTCTTCCCAGCCATGAGCATGGTATGCTCTTCCATTTGTTGATAGCCTCTGATATTTCCTTTCTTAGAGTTTCATAATTTTCTTTATACAGGTACTTCATTTCTTTTGTTAGGTATATTCCTAGTTATTTCATTTTCTTTGAAGCTATGGTGAAGGGGGTTGTGTCCTTAATTAGCCTCTCATCTTGACTGTTATTGCCATATACAACAACTACTGACTTGTGGACATTGATTTTATATCCTGAGACATTACTGTATTTTTTGATGACTTCCAGGAGTCTTGTGGTTGAGTCTTTGGGGTTCTCTAAGTATAAGATCATATCGTCATCAAAGAGGGAGAGTTTGACCTCCTCTGCTCCCATTTAGATGGCCTTTATTTCCTTGTCTTGCCTAACTGTATTGGCTAGAAATTCCAGCACTATGTTGAATAGAGGTGTGACAGAAGGCAGCCTTGTCTGGTTCCAGTTCTAAGAGGAAAATCTTTCAGTTTTACTCCATTCAGTAAAATATTAGCTGCGGGTTTGTTTTAGATAGCTTTGATTAGTTTAAGAAATGTGCCATGTATACCTATACTCTTCAATGTCCTAATTAGAAAAGGATGCTGGATTTTATCAAATGCTTTTTGTGCATCTATTGAGAGGATCATATGGTCTTTGTTTTTGCTTTTGTTAATATGGTGGATAACGTTTATGGACCTGAGTATGTTAAACTAGCTTTGCATCCCTGGGATTAAACCTACTTGATCATGATGTATGACTTTTTTGATGATAAGCTGTACTCTATTGGCTAGGATTTTGTTGAGAATTTTTGCATCTATATTCATTAGTGAAATTGGTCGGAAATTCTCCTTTTTAGTTGGATCTTTTCCTGGTTTGGGTATCAGGGTGCTGTTTGCTTCGTAGAACATGTTGGAGAAGATTCCTTTCTCCTCAATTTTTTGAAATAATTCCTGCAGTACAGGAATAAGCTCTTTCTTGAAGGTTTGATAGAATTCTCGTGTGAGGCTATCCAGACCAGGGCATTTTTTTGCTGGAAGATTTTTTATTGTTTCTTTAATCTCAGTGCTTGAAATTGGTCTGTTCGGGGGCTCTATTTCTTCCTGGCTAAATCTAAGGAAAGGGTGTGATTTCAAATATTGATCCATTTCCTTCACATTATCAAATTTCTGAGCACAGAGTTTCTGGTAGTATTCAGAGATGATCTCTTGTATCTTTGTGGCATCAGTTGTTATTTCCCCTTTATCATTTCTGATTGAGGTTACTAAAGATTTTACTTTTCTATTTCTAGTTAGTCTGACCAAAGGTTTATCTATTTTATTTATTTTTTCAAAAAAACAACTCCTTGTTTCATTAATTTTCTGAATGATTCTTTTGTTTTCAATTTCATTTATCTCTGATTTAATTTTGGATATTTCTTTTCTTCTGCTGGGTTTAGGCTTAGATTGTTCTTTTTCCAGTTCCATAAGATGGCTTATGAGTTTGTTGATGCACTCTCTTTCTGTTTTTTGAAGGTAAGCATCTAAAGTGATGAATTTTCCTCTCAGAACTGGTCTTGCAGTATCCCACAGGTTTTGGTAGTTTGTGTCTTCATTGTTGTTTTGCTTAAGGAAGTTAATGATTTCCTCTTTTATTTCTTCCTGCACCCAACTGTCATTCAACAGAAAGTTGTTTAATTTCCATGTCTTTATGTGGGGTTGAATGTTTTTGTTGGAGTTGAGTTCCACCTTTAGTGCCTGGTGGTCTGAGAAGATACAAAGTAAAATTTTAATTCTTTTCATTCTGTTGAGGTTTGTTTTGTGTCATAGGATATGATCAATTTTGGAGAATGTTCCATGGGCCAATGAGAAGAATGTATATTCTTTAGCTTTGGGATGGAGTGTTCTATATGTATCTATCAAGCACAGTTATTCTAGGGTCTCATTTAAGTTCCTTATATCTTTGTTTAATTTCTGTTTAGAGGATCTGTCCAGCACTGTAAGAGGAGCGTTAAAGTCCCCTGTTATTATGGTGATATAGGATATCATATTGCTCAGACTGAGTAAGGTCTGTATTAAGAATCTGGGAACATTTAAGTTGGGTGCATAAATATTTAGAATTGAAATGTCTTCTTGTACTTTTCCCTTTATCAATATAAAATGAGCATCTTTGTCTTTTTTACTTTAGTTGCTCTAAATCCGCATGTATCTGAAAATAAGATTGTAACCCCTCTTTTCTTCTGAATTCTGTTTGCCTGAAAACTTGTCTTCCAACCCTTAACTCGGAGTTTTAATTTGTCTTTTGAAACTAGGCGTGTTTCCTGCAGACGGGAAATGGATGGCTTGTGCTTTTTAATACAGTCAGTTGATCTATGCCTCTTCAGTGGGGAATTCAAGCCACTAATATTTATTGAGATAATTGATTAGTGTGGTAGTGTTTTATTCATCTTATTTTGTGAGAGTTCATTGCTTAGTTTTATCTTTTGCACCACTGTGGAAGTTAGGCTCTGTCCTTTCATTTTTGAGTTCTTACTTTGCTGTTGATCCATTGTGATGGTCAGTGTGTAGAAAAGGTTGAAGTATTTCCTGTAGAGCTGGTCTTGTTGTGGTGAATTTCCTCTATGTTTGTATATCAGTAAATGATTTGATTTCTCTGTCAATTTTAAAGCTTAGCTTAGCAGGATATAGAATTCTGGGCTGGAAATTGTTCTGTTTAAGGTAGATGACCATTGTCTTCTTGCTTGAAAAGTTTCATTAGAAAAGTTTGCAGTCACCCTGATGGATTTACCCCTATAGGTCAACTGTCACTTACTCCTGGCAGTTTGAAGAATATTTTCTTTTGTCTTGATTTTGGATAGGTTCATCACAATGTGTCTTGGAGAAGCTCTGTTAGAGTTGAAGCAACCTGGGGTCCAATATCCCTCTGAAAGGAGTATGTCAGAATCTTTGGTGATATTTGGGAAATTTTCATTTATAATATTCTCTAGTATGGCTTCCATTCCCCTGGGACACTTTTTCCCCTTCTGGGATACCTATAACTTGTATGTTTGAACACTTCATAAAGTCCTATAATTCTGTCAGTGAATGTTCTGCTTTCTCTCTCTTCTTTTCTGCCTCTTTAACTATCTGAATTATCTCAAGGGCTTTGTCCTTTACCTTTGAGATTTTTTCTCTGCGTGGTCTAATCTGTTGTTGATACTTTCTATTGCATCTTTAAGTTCCCTAATTGACTGCTTCAGTTCCTTCAGCTCTGCTATATCCTTTCTTAATCTTCATATCATTCATGTCTTACTTGATTCTATTTTTGGATTTCCTTTTGGTTATTTTCCACTTTATCAGCAGTTT